AAGAGGAAGACCCCTAACGAGATGGATTGGCCAGGTGGCATCATTGATGGACTCAAGTGTGGCAGTGGTAGTGAGGTTGACCCAGGATCGGACATTGTTTTGTTCTGCTGTGCATGGGGTCACTATGAGTTGGTTCTGACACGATGGCACCTGACAACAACAACAACAACACAACATCCACCAGGACACAGATGGTTAGTGCCTAAAAATGCACTGATATATAATCATCAACTGAGTATGGATTTGACACCACAATGCCTCAGAGAAAATAGACAATTCCAGTGTACACAATGTAACAAGATTGCGTGTTTCAAACAAATGACCAAAATAGAGAGCCAGAAAACATGCTACCAGAAACAGTATTAAACTAATGGGCTCAAGCGTGGCAACAATTATGAGATTGGCCCAGGACCGGGTAGTGTTTCATTCTGTTGTGCACAAGGTCACTATGTGTCAGTACTAACTTGATGGCACCTACCAACAACAACAAGGAATGTAAAAGAATGCTAAGTAGGCAATTTCAACAAACTCTGAGAAAGACCAGAAAACTGGAAATGAAATCAAAGAAAATATATAAGGACTATGGAAAAAATCAGGAAGCAAGCTAACAAAATAATTTTAAAAGTAGAAACCATACAAAAATAGTAATTAGAAAGCCAGAAGATTAATGTTAAGAGCTTTGAAATAGATAATACACTGAAAGAGCAAAGAAACGTAACCGAATCAATGGAAAGATGACTTGCTGAATTTGAAGAAAAATCTGTCACTATTCATCTGCTAGAGGAACAATAAAACAAACAAACAAACAAACAAATTCAGAAATGCCTAAGATACACGTGGGACACTATCAAGAGTAACTTACATGTGATAGGAATTCCAGAACAGGATGCGAATAAAAAAAAAAAAAAAAAAAAAACAAAGACCCATAGGGAATATTGTACAAGAGTTGTTAGAAGAAAACTTCCCTAACATCATGAAAGATGAGAAGATAGTCACTCAAGAAGCTGAACTAACTCCAAACAGGATAGACCCTAAAAGAAAAAAAAAACAAAACATATTATAGTCAAACTTTATAAAACCAAAGACAAGGGAAGAATCCTGATAGCAGCTCAAGTAAAACAAAGGAAAACTAGTAAGACTAAGCTCTGATTTATCAGCAGAAACCATACAGGCAAGAAGACAATGGAATGACATATGTAAAACTCTGAAAGAAAAAAAACCCTGCCAACCAAGAATCATATACCCAGCAAAACCGGCCATCAAATATGACAGTGAAATTATGTCATTTTTCATAGAAATTAAGGGTATTTTTAAAAACCAGACCCAACTTTTACAAAAAATACTGAAGGAGTTCTTTGGACAGAGAACCAACAACAGCAGCCGACAACTGGAGACTAACACACCTGACAATATCACCTAGACTCAACCCAGATACAGAAGTATTCAAAGGAAAACAGAACTGTAAGACTAGAAATAGAAAACCAAAAGTAAAGAGGGAAGAATATAATGATACAACTTCCAAATGAAGAGGAAACCAAATAGATTTCAAGAAAATAAATACATAAATAAAAATAAGCGGAAATCCTAAAAACTAGACCAAGCCTTACCCCTAGCCTGAGTCAAACCTTTACCCTTAACACTAACCTTGTTGTTAAGTACCGTGGAGTTGGTTCCGACTCATAGTGACACGATATACGATTTCTGAGGAGCAGCTGGTGAGTTTGAACCACCAACCTTGTAGTTTAAACTGACCTTTTGGTCCAGTGCAATATCCTGCAGTGCCATACTAGGACTGCAATCCTAACCCGAACACTAATACTAAACAACGTACTAGGCCTAGGCTAGACTGAGTTATAGTCCCAATCCTAACCTTTACTTCTTACTCCTCCACACACCTCACTCCACCAACCCCCAAAAAAATCCAGTATAGGAACATAAAGAAAATACTTACCAAAACAGTGCCTCTATCAGGAACAGTCGAGTTAAAACAATAAACACGCTAAAATTCACAGACTCTACCAAAGGCATAATTTATAGGGAGGACATCATTCACTGAACAAATTCCATTTTTGTAGCTAATGCCAACCACTCTGGACAGTTTGCAATATAGAGATTGTCATCTTCTTTAAGAACATGTACTTAAATGACAAAAACTATCATTTTTGAAACTTCACTTTTCCAAAGTAAAGATAAAAAATGTATCTTCTTTTTTTTGTAACCACAAATAATTTTCATGATTTGATTTTTAAAAAACTCCAACAAAAACAAAAAGTTTCAATTTAGAAATACTTTTAAATACACAAAGTCTAACACACAGGTAAATAAATTAATGACAGTAGTATCATCTAGCTTTGGAATGTTGAAAGTTACAACCCCACCTCTGTTTCAGGACTCTTTGGTCAATCAATCCATTGCCCAAATTTTCTGCTGGATAAAAAGATGGCATCTGCTGCCCACAACTGGCTGGGCTCGAGGACTGCTCGCTCCTGTTGCAAGAAAGCAATGTGAAATGTCAATATCACCCTGTTAGAGTTCCAGGAAGTGGGTCAGGGACTATTCAACAGGAGCCATAACCACTGATCTTACTGTGACTTTATGGGCAGCATCAGACCAAAGCAAACTCTGATCTGTGTTCACTTCCAAACTCCACATTAGACTCAGGACCAAAGCAATAGAATGAAGAACCTTCCTGCTCATCTTGCTCAACCGTTGTCATATGCCAGTTCACAACGCTGTCTTCGCTAATCCATCCTACATTTCTTCTGCTAAAATTATCTTTGCTTTATGAAATAAAGGTGATAATTGAATTTTCACTTAGCATCCTTTGGGAAAAATAAAATGGTTAATTCTATGTCAGACCTGACCTCTGTCTGTATTTTGCTATTTGGGGAGCATTTTATTATTATCTGTTAAGTCTCATATCTTAGAAGCACATTTCACTAACACCCTCATTATGTGAGTGATACAATTGAGGCACAGAAGAGAAAGCAACTTGCCCAAGGCCATAGCTGCTCAATAGCAATGTCAGAAGCTGATTTTAGTTCTCCCAATTTCCTGTACAGTGAGTTTTCTACCAGCTTCCAGAACAAGCAAAAAGAAAAACAATTATAAACACACCGATTTCGTATTCCTATCATTTACCTAAATCTGCACAGGATGCCACATATCCTGCCCAGATGTGGCCTGCAAATTTCTTTCAAAAGAACACACCAGACAAAACAAGCCTTTAAGTGGAATTTGTACTCAAGTCGCAACACATCTTCAAGACCTACAACACCAGTATAGACTCTTGTGTGACCCATTTTTTTTACCCATCTCCCATCTCATTTTACAGTGAAAAGCAACTATAAAGAGCCAAGCAAAATCTCAAAGGTTAGGTGAGCAGCTAAACAGAGTCTCATATCAAGCATTTCATTACCTAAGTTCAAGGTTCTTTCTACTATGCTAGGTGACTTCTCTTTATTAAACTCTATCTGAAAGGACTTAATTAAACTGCCTATCCTCATGTATCTTAGCATAATTCCCACCTGACAACAAAACTATGAACACCAAATATAACAAGTAAGCATTTTCATCCACAAAAAACAAACCTATCACCAGCATTGGTGTGGCGCTGTGGGCTAATGTGTCAGACTGCAAATTCGCTTGAACTGCAAAGTCAGTGGTTCAAGCTTACCAGCTACTCCTTGGAAACCTATACAGGATCGTTATGCGTCGGAATCGACTCAACAGCACTTAACAACAACAACAACACCATCAAATTGATTCTGACTACCTATGGGTTGTGTCCCATAGGGTTTCTAAGGCTGTAATTATGGAAACAGACAGGCACATCTTTCTCCCATCAAGATGCTGATGGTTTCAAACAGCCAATAGGACTGCAAGTTCCTGTTTGAAAGAAAGCAATACAATATATCAACAACACCCTATTAAAGTTCCGGAAGGTAGGCCAGTGACTAGTCAACAGGAGTCATAACCACTGATCTTACTGCAACTTCATTGGCAGCATCAGCCCATAGCAAACACTCCGATCTGTGTATATTTCCAATCTCCACATTAAACTCAGGACTCAGAGACCTGAAAGAAGAACCCGCCGGGTCACCTTGCTCTGCTGTTCTCATTGGGTTAGCAGCCTAGCTCTTAACCACTACAGCCCAGAGCTCCATTATACCACAATAATTTAACCTAAATACATGACAACGTAATCTTTAGAGTGAGCCAGCTATTTACTGGATAGAGTTTAATAGTCCCTTTTCATAAAGCCCTGGACTGCCAAAGTGTTCCTAGTCTTGGTCAGCTTTGAAGCTGGTTTTCTTAACTAGGTTAACCAAGTTTCATATTTAACACAGGACTGAGTCAGAACTGATTCGATGGCAGAAATTTACTGGAAGATTATGAGCTCATCATATCAGTATGAATTAACATGGAGTTCGGTAGGTACTGTATTAAATTCACAACCTACAGATGAAGAAACAGGAATGCCAACATTTAATACAATCAATTCAATCAGTGGTAGAGCCAGGAATGAAGCCCAGATTTCCTGGGGGTCCAGCCAGTTTGCATTTGCTAGAGAACATTATACACCGATTTGCAATGGAAACAAGACTGCTAGCTTTCTTCCATACTGTGCCTTAAGCAATATCAAGATTCCAGTCAACTGAAGAGAACTTCCAGTGCAAAAGCTTGCCTTCTAAGAATTCTGAGAAGTGACTAAGCTCTCTTAGAGATTCACACATCATCTTTTTGGTGGAAAGGAGTAAAAGTAAGTAATGGAAGCCTCATTAACTCACATGTTGAAGAGTGTACACTTACATAAACTTAAAAAACCCAAACCCATTGCCATCAATTCAAGGGCTTCCAAGGCTGAAATCCTGGAAGGTGACAGTCACATCTTTCGTTCGCAGAGTAGCTAGTGAGTTTGATCTGCCGGTGACATTTTTGGATAGCAGGAGAACACTTAACCATTGTGCCACCGGTGCTTTATGTATTTTTATACGGTTATGTCAAAACAATGCTTAGGAGATGTGTGCCAAAGCAAAGTATAGGAGAAATTCCTCAGATAAATCAGATGCTAGAATCCCTAGCACTTAAGCCAAGTTTTATACATTTTAGTGCTTATTGAAAAGAATGAGAAATCAAATTATTAAAGCTATAATCTAAAGAAATTAAAGTAAAAGCATACAATGGATTTCATTAAGCATCACAATATTATGTAAAAATTAATGAATAATTGATCTGTAGCAATGACTTTACCTTAGAAACGCTTTCAAAAAATAAGGAGCTCTGGTGTACAATGATTACAATGAATAAGAAAAGTTCATGGTTCTAACCCACCAGCCATTCTGCTCCGCGGGAGAAAGATGAGGCAGTCTGCATCCATAAAGATCGCAGGCAAGAAAACCCCAAGGATCAGATCTACTCTTTCTTTTTTCTCATTCAAAGATATTCTTAGATCTGTCTTTTTATAGCAATGTGAAAAACAAACAAAAAGTTTAGTCTTAGATCTTTTTATAACCTTCTGAAAACAAAACAAACAAAAAGCCATCAATGTCTTGAACATTATGGGAAGTATCTTCATAGTGATATCAGGTAAATAATGTGCACTGGTTTCAACTTGATTTTGTTAAATTAGCTCTTCAACTTCTTCGATATTTCTTTGTTTATCCTCTTTACTCATACAGATAGATGTCAATGTACTGAATCCCGTGTCAGAGAGATGTGAATTAAAGGGAGGAATGGATGGCACAGATCTCCTTTTGTTACATGGAATCCCTATGAGTCTGAGTCAATGACACCCAACAAGAGAAGCCTTGCAAAAAGTCTCAAAGATGTAAACCTACTCCCAGGGCATAGATTTGCATGATAAAATGCTTTATCTTATAATTTCTGCCATCATTCCTTTTCATTGTAGGACTCAGTGGTAAAAAACAAAAATACTCCCAAATCTCAAAGCTTTTATCTACCACTACAAACTTTTCTAAATAATTTTTGTGGGATACTCCTGGTGTGGCTGAAGGATCAGCACTGGACTACAAATCACAAGATCAGCAGTTCAAACCCACAAGCTGCTTCTCATAAACCCTATTCTGGATTGCTATGAGTCTGGACCACCTCAATGGCACTTAACAACAACATTACAGTAAGTAGCATTCCAAGGACACTGTTAAAACAGTAAAAAATTCATTGTTTAACAAATTATATTGTGACTGTCTCCAGAGGAGAATATAAATTAATTATTATAAGAAATCCTTGGTCAAAAAAAGATAGATTGATAGATGACAGATGTACAGTTTTGAGAAAACTACAAATGCCTTTATCAAACTCAACTGTTCCTTTATTTTTTAAATTAAAGTAAGCTATAGGAGTCCATCATAGCTTGCTTTACGTATATTTCAACTGCTTCCTTCTGAGCATTTTACATAAGAAATAGGACTTCCTAAACAAGTAAAGTCAGTATTTGCAAAGTAGTAAATAATTTTTTTTAAAAATTTAAATCCCACAGTCAGTTAAAATACAAAATGGATCTTGATTCATGAAGACTTTGTAAAAAGTGACTTTTATACGAATATCAGATGCATCATACAAATAATCCAGCTGGAAATGGTCACAGTTTCCAAAGAAGACAAAATCCCAACTACATTCATCACTAAAAGGCTGTTGAGAAAGCACAGAATTTAAAAGAAGGCCATTCATGAATATACTTACAGTGGGGCTGCTTCTGTTTGCCTCAGCAGGGCTGTTTCTCTAGGGCTTCCAGGAGAACTCAGTCCTTGACAGTTCTGTTTATATTTTCTAATTAGATCCATCAGAATAGCCTGGTGCCCAATTTTCTTTACCAATTGCTGAATCATCCGATCATTAAGTGCTAGAAGAGCGGCCCCACTTACTTCTTCCTCTGGGAAAAAGGAAAAAGAAAAAAAAATGTTTCTGCATAGCTGCCTGGTAAATCACTGAAAAACATAGGTAATTTGAACAGGCAAAATCATTTCTGGTATTCAAATACTCAAGTAAACTTCTTTTTCTTTCTTTTTTTTTTTTTTACAGTTTTAAGAGTATCTGTGATTCTTAAAAACATGAAACTGAAATTGCACAATTCCAAATCTCCATCTGCTCCTAAGGAAGGTCCAGAACATGGAGACAGACTCAATAATAACTTTTAACTTCCACATTAAATGCCTTCCTAAATCTGATGTTTTCTAACAAGCATTCCATGGAAGGAAAAAAAAATCTTGGGAAATTCTTCTTAACTCCTAACCAATCTTCAATATTTGTAAATCTATCACTGAACACAATACTTGTTGCATTATTTAAGGGCAAAAGACATACAAAATGCATTTATCGATTCTGTTTTAAAGGGGTCTTAAGATTATATTTTGAATTAGTTCTTAAGATAATATCATATTCTTTTGTGGATGCCTGGGCAAAAACTCTGCTTCAGTCAATAAAGACAAACAAAAACAAATAGGAAGTTCCCTATAGCAGTAACTCCACACCCACAGTCACATAGATATTAGGCAAATGAAAGCAATTTTCAACAACAGAGGACAACAGGATATCTAGGCTGCTCAAGTTAATTTTTTTGAAAGGGAAAATAACTCACCTTGAAACCTATGCACTAGCTCTCCTAAATTTTTCTCCACCAACCAACTGCAGACCTGATCAACTGACCACGTTTCCATTTCTGAATCCTGTAGAATAAAAGATCAGAAGGATTCTTCAGTTTGTCTTTCAGATTTTCCTCTTTTGTTTATTTCTTTCTAACAATCAACTGTCTAATTCAGTTCCCTTCTTTGCCAAACCCCTTTATATTTTCAATATTAAATTTCTTTAAAATTATTATTTTTAGAACACACAAGTCTCAGTTGCTAATGAAATAACTCATTCTTAAAATAAAACCAGTTTTAACCTGTATCCTATTCTCCTCAAATTTCTTCACCTTCGCCTACTTTTTTTCCACAGGCATCCCTCAGCTTTTCTAACAGACAGTCACATACATACAATGGTACCCAATCCTGTACCTTTAACACCCAGGTTTCTTCACAAAGAAAAGAAAGGTGTGAAATTCACCACTACCAGTCCCAGCAGGAAGTGGTTGACATTTACAAAAGGGGTGGGCAGGGGAGGAAGAGAGGAAGGATCAGATAAAAGCCTGACAGAGCTACTTAGTAAACCAATGCTGGTTAACCCCTTGCTGCTCCCCAGCTAGTAGAAAGCTAGTAATTCTGATTACTGATTTAAATGAAGGAAGAAAAGCCAGGGCTTTGACCCCCTGTTGAGAATTTGCATTTCCACCCCAAATACACTGAATCATCTTGGAAGGGAGTTAAGACTGTCCAAACCTAGTCTAAGTCCTGATTTGTTGTTAAGTGCCATTGAGTCAGTTCCAACTCACAGCAACCTTGTATAGAGTTGCCAAGGAGCAGTTGGTGAGTTTGAACTGCCGACCTTATGGTTCAAATGAATTTATAGTCCAGTGCTGATCTTACAGCACCACACCAGGACTCCAAATTTCTCTGGAGATTATGAATGTTTCTTTCCTTTCTTCCAATAGCATTGTTATAGTCCTTGTGTGATGCTGTAGGATCAGCACTGGACTGCTAACCAAAAAGTCAGTTGTTCAAACCCACTAGCTACTTCTTGGAAATGCAATACAGGGTGACTATGAATAGAACAAGAAGACATCTAACAACAATACTCCTATTACACATTCCATTCAGCTCTAGACCTTTGTTGAGCACTCTGGTGGTGCTGTAGAATAGGCACTGGACTACTAACCACAAGGTTGAAAGTTCAAATCCTGTTATTTTCTACTGCTCTTCAGTAGAAAGATGAAGTTTCAGCTCCCATAAAGATTTATAGTCTCAGAAATCCTATACAAGGTACCTACGAGTTGGAGTTGGCATTGACTCAATGGCAGTGAGTTTTTTTTTTGTTTTGTTTTGATCATGATTGGTAAGATAACTAGGAAAGATTAGCATTTTGATTGAAAGAAAAAACTTAAAAAAGAAACAGGAGAGACTCAAAATGGGAAAAAAATTAAATAATGCTTAAGCAAAAAATGTGTATAAAGGGTTGCAAAATTACAGTCTTTATTCAGCCTTTTTTTTTTTTTTTTTTTTTTTGTGCATGCCACTATATATACAGAGTCTTGGTGTGTCACTGTAGGATAAGCACTGGACAGCAAGGTCAGTTTGAAACATAGGTTGGTGGTTCAAACCCACCAGCTGCTTCTTGGAAACCTTACGCAGGGTCACTGTGAGTTAGAACCAATTGGATAGCAATTAACAACAACAAATGCTTCTGTATTTAGAAAACTCAAAGCAAGTATATCTATTTCAATAATGATTTTTCCCTGTCACTTAAGCAGCTCACCCCTTGTTTTTATAATTCAATCTAAAGGGTTAAATGTACTGGAAGGACACTGAAAATTTTTAAACATCTTAATTTTTTAACATGACTTTTTAATATCATTTTACAGTATAAAATGTTATAGATTGACTTGTACAGTAAGATACTGATGCTGGAGTCCTGGTGTGGTTGTAGGATAGGCACTGGACGGCTAACTATAGGTCTGCAGTTCAAACCCATCACACACTCCTCAGAAACCTATATGGGTTCACTGTGGGTGGGAACCAACTTGACAGCACTTAACAACAACAACAATGACTATGACAGTCAGAAGGAATCTTGGTGTGGCATCTTAGGATAAGCATTCCACTTCAAGGTCTACTTGAACCTCAAGGTCAGTGGTTCAAGCTCACCAGCTGCTCCTTGGAAATGTTATTGGTTGGTTATGTGCTGTGGAGTCGGTTCGGACTCATAGTAACCCTGTACAGGGTTTCTGAGGTTGTAAATCCCTACAGGAGCAGAAAGTCTCATCTTTCTCCTGCAGAACAGCTGGTAGTTTTGAACTGTGGACCTTGTGGTTCACAGCCGGATTTGTAACAACTATGCTCCCTTGGAGATGCTATCCAGAGTCTCTGTGAGTTGGAACTGACTCAATGGTACCTAGCAACAACAATAATTATAAAGATAGGAAAAAAAAGATGGAATCATATGGAAAGAGAAAACCATTTATTAGATTTCATATTTAAGTTTCATTGCTAGAAGTTCTAAAAATAAATATTAGTAAATTTTTCATCTGTGTGCATTTAAATAAGTTACAATTGACAATGTCATGGTCAGAATGGTGGAAAGCAATGTTTACTATGTCATACTTCAAAAATCATTTCCTAGAAAACAAGTATACTTCAACGTAATAAGCCACACTCACAGAAGTAGTCACAAACACCAAGATGAAAAATTGAAAACAAGGGTTAAATATAGAAAAGAGACATCTTTCTGAATTACAGAGGTGGATTTAATTTGCTCCTTTAACAGTAGCCACAGAACACCTCCCCTAGGCTAAGCAGCAATAGCAGGGTGTGAAAAGTCATTATTTGGAGACTGGGGTGTAAATTAAAAATCACACCTTCATGTCACACTTCTGGCTTCCTGCAGAAGAGAAGGACTTGCTGAAAAAAATAGTAAGACAAGAAAACAATTTTCTAAACCCCAAGATTAAAAGGTATGCAAAGCAGAAGGCATTACTGTACATCCATTCCTGGATAAAGGGAACAGAACATCGGAAACTGAAATGAACACTGGACAAGTCTTACATTTTTTTAACTCTGAATCTTACTCCAATTCTAAATTGGGCAAAAGTAAAACGATAATGAAATGACAATCTCATAAAACATGATAAAATAAAAAATAAAGTTTTTCGCATTTGTTTTTCTGAATATTTAATAAAGTAACAAAGAGTCCTGGCATGGTACTGTGGGTTAATGAGCTGGGCTGCAAAGTCGGTTTGAACTACAAGGTCGAAGGTTCAAGTTCATCAGCTGCTCCTTGGAAACCCTATACAGGGTCGCTATGGGTCCGAACCAACTTGATGACACTTAACAACAACAAATAAAATAACATACTTGTCTTAACCGTCTAGTGCTGTTATAACATTAATACCACAAGTGAGTGACTTTTACAAACAAATGGATTTTCTCATCATTGAGGAGGCTGGCAGTCTGAATTTAGAGCACTAATTCTGAGGGAATGCTTTCTCTGTTGGCCCTGGGAATGATCATTATCTCCTTTCAGCATCTGGAGGCCTGAAGCTCTCTTCTTGGGGAATCTCCATGTGTCTTGAAAAATCAATCTTCGCCTGTTTTCGGTACAGAGATGACAGATCCAAAGAATATGCTATTCTCTCAGTTCTTTCTTGGGAAGAAACAGGTTTTTCTCCTCTCTGCTCCTCTCTGCTCCTCTCTCTCTCTCTCTCTCTCTCTCTGTGTGTGTGTGTGTGTAAGATAAAAGGTGTGACTAAAGCTAGGGTGGGACTTAAGCATGTGATTTGAGTAAGGGTGGGACTTAGGGGGATGACTTGATTCTCACCCTCATTTTTTTTGTTTTTCCCCACCCTGATTTAAGACTAAGTGAAGATATATATTCCACTCTGAACTTCCCTTTTTAACATAAGTGGTTGTGGTGGTTAAGTACCATTGTTCCAACTCATAGGGACCCTGTATAGGACTTCTGAGGAGTGGTTGGTGAGTTTGAATTACTGACCTTGCAGTTCAGACCAACCTTGATACACTGCTTATCCTACAGCACCACAACAGGATTCCTATTAACATACAGACATTAAGATTTACAACACATCATAAAATAGAGCCTGCTTTCATTAGGACAATCACACAATACAGGGAATCATGGTCCACCCTTGTTGACACATTGTTTGTTGTTATTGTTAGGTGCCATCAAATTGATAATGACTCACAGCTACCCTATGCACAACAGCATAAAACACTGCCCGATCCTGGGCCAAGCTCACAATTATTGCCACACTTGAGCCCACTGATGTTGCCACTTGGCCAATCCATCTTGTTGGGGGTCTTCCTCTGTTTCTTTGAACCTCCACCTTACCAAACATGATATCCTTCTCCAGTGACTAGTCCCTCCTGACAATATGTCCAAAGTATAAGAGACGAAGTTTGGCCATCCTGGCCTCCAAGGAGCACTCTGGCTACACTTCTTCCAACACAGATCTGTTGGCTCTTTTGGCAGCCAATGGCACTTTCAGTATTCTCCTCCAACACCATAACTCAAAAGCATCAATTCTTCTAGTCTTCCTTATTCACTGTCCAGCTTTCGCATGCATACGAGGTTATTGAAAATACCATGGCTTGGGTCAGGTGCACCTTAGTCCTCAAGCTGACATCTTTGCTTTTCAACACTTTAATAAGAATTTTATGTAGTAGATTTGCCTAATGCAATACGTTGTTTGATTTCTTGACTGCTGCTTCCATGAGTATTGATAGTTGATCCAAGAAGAATGAAGTCCTGGACAACTTCAATCTTTTCTCCATTGATAAGAATGTTGTTTATTGGTCCAGTGGTGAGGATTTTGTTTTCTTTACATTGAGATGCAATCCATACCGAAGGCTGTGCTCTTTGATCTTCATCAGTGAATGTTTTAAGTCCTTTTTACTTTCAGCAAACAAGGTTGTATCATCTGCATATCGCAGGTTGTTAATGAGTCTTCCTCCAATCCTGATGCCACGTTCTTCTTCCTAGAACCCAGCTTTTTGGATGATTTCCTCAGCATACAGGTTGAATAAGTATGGTGAAAGAATAGAACCTT